GGATCAACCCTATTTGCTTTACAACAGCTATCTGGAATAAATGCCGTGTTTTATTTCTCTTCAACTGTATTTAGACGTGCTGGAGTGTCCTCGAACCTGGCAAATGGTCTTGTGGGGATTGCAAATTTAGTAGGCAAGTAGTTCTCTCGTCTTTCATCTGTATATATATATATATATATATATTTCTGTTAATTTCCCTTCTTTCTCCCTTCCTCTTCCCCTTCCCCTCCCAGAGTGTCACTTGAATTTTTTTCATAATTTCTCGTTAATATATAATACCGTCTCCCCTTTTCCTTAATGTTACATGTACTTTTCTACAGGTTCTATAATTGCATTGGTACTGATTGACAAACTAGGAAGGAGGGTCCTCCTCCTCTGGAGCTTCTTTGGCATGGTAAAGTTCTTTGACTGAAACTTTGATATTAGGAAAATATCACCGCGCTTCTAAAGGATTCATCTTCTTAATTTTTCAAGAATTGAAGAATTACATAAATGTAAAACAATTTTGCAATAGAGATTGATCCAGGGATACAAATCACGGCTTCCAATCTGTATATTCCATTTTGCTAATCGAAAGCGGATGGCTCCCTACTCCACCCTCTTGTCTCTTGTCACAGGTTCTGACCCACCGTCCCACCAGACCTCGTTCCTTGCCCCTACCCTTGTTCAATATATATATTAGTTGTCTATTCATTATGCAACACAACCTTCTCGATAGGAAAAATAAAAAATGTAGAGAACTCTTCATATAGATAACCCATCCCCCACTTGTTTTCTCCATAATTGCAATGTTCCAGGGTGGGGTGGGTTGCATCCTCAAAAATCTCATTCGGATTGCCATTTGTAGCTTGCAATTCTTGCTTCATTTTGTATATATCAAAATGCTTAATCCTTATTGCTAGAGTACACGTTTGTTACTAGTATACACTTTTGAAATAGGTGTTCCTTTGACTATTCGCTTTGTTACTTTCTATTCAATCAGGCTGTATCGATGGCTCTTCAAGTTCTTACAACTGGCTTATTCACTTCGAGTTCTGGATCTTTTTACTTATCTACTGCTAGCACGCTTCTGTAAGTGTTGATTTTGGCTTTCCTAAGTATTAATAAATTGTATATAGAGATCCATTAGCTAAGTTATTTTCTGTCAAGAAAAAGTTTGAGCTGGTACCTATCTACCTAATTATTGTCTGAAAAGTAAATCTTCCATGCTAGAAGAATTCTTGATATGTTTTTTTTTTGTAGAATGTCTGAACATTCAAATCACTGTTGATTTCTAGCATTCGGAGTTCACATTGCATCCTTTCCCACAATATGAACTGGAAAATCTAGAATTTGGCCATGGATGACTTACTCTACCACCTCATTTCCCCCCACCCACACAAAAGAAATAAATTCATGACCCTCTTACAATCCTAGTCTGCCAAAAAGTTGGAGGTGAATTCTATAGTCCCATTCACTTTTCCAATTCATTTCAAGCAACATGTCAGCTAAGTGGAGTGAACTTGGATTCGGTGGGGACTAGGATACACCAATGCTCTCCTGGTGTCGCCGAGTCAGTGTCCAACACGACACTGACCAGGTGGCTTGTCGAAATTATTTTTTGGTTTTGTACCATTGGACACTTTGCCAACACAGTTGGAATTGACAAAAAAAAAACAAATTTACTTTATAATATAAAAATAAAAAAATAAATTTATTTTAATGAGAGTTGTGCTGGTACTTTTTTTTTTTTTTTTTTGAAAAAGTGCGTCAGTGTCTTGTCGACACTCGTGTTCATGCCGATGCTTCCTCGAGGGGAGAGAGAAGTAATAGACTGGCAAAATGCATCATACTTTCTTTGTGAACATAATAAGGGGTGGTTTTTGACACAGCCTTTTTAGTAGATTTTGATAAAAGTTTATGAAATGGACTTGAAAAGTTGTGGGTATATGAAATGTATGCTAAAATTGAAGTTGACCATTTTTGCAAAATTTTATCGAACAAGCACTAAATGAAAAAGATCCCAAAAAAATAATGGTCTAGAACAAATAAATGAAATATTGAATCACATTGGATTGACAATTTGGAGCAACATTATGCAGGTTTGTCTTAACATTTGCATCTGGAGCTGGTCCAGTTCCCAGTCTCTTACTCCCAGAAATATTCCCCAGCCGGATTAGGGCAAAAGCAATGGCATTTTGTATGTCAGTGCATTGGGTAATTAATCTCTATTCATTCATTTTCTGACATTTATATTTTATCTTTGTAGTCACTATATATACGCTTGTGTTGCTGAATATTTAGAAATAAAGATGAAAAATGGGAATGTAAATAATTTTAGTTACTTACAATTGATCTGCTGCTCGTTTTGCTTCTCAGGTGTTGAATTTCTTAGTTGGGCTGATGTTTCTGCGTTTGCTTGATCAATTTGGTCCCGCGCTCTTGTACTCTATTTTTTGTACATTCTGTTTGGTGGCAGTGGTCTTCGTGAAGAGGAATGTGATGGAAACAAAAGGAAAATCACTTCAAGAAATTGAGATTGCCCTCCTCCCTCAAGAGTAGAGGAGAAAAGTTTGCATGGTTAGGCCAAAAGTTCACATAAGAAAATGCTATTACTATTTTGTGACGGACAATTGTGTTGAAGCTTTGGTTCACAAATCCGTCTCCTGCGGCTGGAAATATATCAGGTATTTCATTGAAGCCAATTTACAACATAAGAGCTCTAGTAGTTATAGTTAAGCATAACATTGCGCAGACCGTTACCGTTTCAAGAGCACTGCACATCTTTGTATTGTTTGGTTTCTGTTTTCAGATATTTTATTGAAATTGTATTCATGCACGATTTTCGAATAGATAAGAGCATTTGCTAATGCATTCTATAGATTTCTATGAAACACTTTCGATCTATGTGACATTAGATGTCCAATAGATATGTCACTCAAATGTAAAATTATTTTTTAATGCATTCTATGAATTGCTATCTTGATGTTCTTTATTATATTAATATAAAAAGAAACTACGCCTAAATCTGGATAAGAAATATAAATTTAGAAATGAAATATTAATTTTGTCGAGTCATTGTTTGATAAAGCTTTTGGAATTAGACGGAGTTCTAATTTATTTATTTATTTTGTGACGTTAGTACATATAGTTTACATTGGAGTGGAATTTTTCAAGTATTTTTTATTCACTTGCGGGGCACAATTTTTGCACTGGTGATGCTCTAATATTGAAGTTCTAGCTTTGTGGATTTCCAAGTGTTCAATTGGCGATTAAAAATAAAGCATTACCAACAAACATAAATCATGTGGAAAAATCAGATTTTACAATTTGATATTATCTAAATTTAACATTATATACAGGCAAAATGCTAGGGTTTCTTGCAATGTGCCCTAAATTTTATGTAAAAAATATTAAGCTCGTGTTTGATTCGGATTAAAATCAGATTTTTAATAAATTTTGATAGAAATTAATGAAATATGTGGTTGAAAAGTTGTAGAATTTATAAAATATGTCGTGAAAATTAATTATTGACTTTGGTTTAGATTAAAATCTAAATATGTTAAGCTTCGATGGTCATTAAATCTGTGTCTGTCTCTATTCATTTGAAAAAGGTAATTATATGCATAACACAATTTTTATAATATGCATCACATTTTAATGGTAATGAAAGTCTCTAATTTTTGTTTCTCGTTTTTGCACTTGTATTTTAACATTTTTTTATTGTATTCTTATCATTTTTCTTCATTTAAATTTTCTCATCTTGTCTATGATAATAATTTTTGTCCAAATATTCTACTAATATGCATTAAAATGGGGGACAAATATTTTTTTTCAAGCTTTCGTATTTAATATTTATTTTGCTTATTTGAAAATACGAAAAACAATAAATCTCCACCAACTCTCCCGTCTAACATACCTTCTTTTAACTTCGATTAACTGATTTTTTGGACAAAAACCTTCATTAGAGATGTGAAAATTAATAGAAGGTTAACACAAGGTGTAATGAAAAAAGTTGGGAGATAATAGTGCGTAAATGACCAAAAAGAAAAAAATACATTGAAAATGTTGATTGTAATTAAAATGTGGTGAAGTTGACAAAGAATGTAATTATTTTTACAAAATATTATTTATTTGCTTATTTTTATATATAAAAATTTTAAATTCTTATATAAATTTAGAGAAAATTTCACATGTTGCAGGTGGGCACCCCTCCTGCCCTCCCTTGGCTCTGCCATGAGGGCTGGAGGCTTTCAACTATCGGACTTTTGCCATTCAGGGCTTAGCACTCATGCGCTTGAGAGCACGACTTTAATATTTCTCACGACTTTAATATTTCTCTCCCCGATTTAACAGTATGAACTCATCTTGCATACCGCGGTTGACGTAGGTCCCTTTATAGCATCGAGTAACCACATATGAAGGGGAAAAACAGCAGCAATTGCACGGGTAAATGCCAAACATTATATGCATATTCCCATTTATTCAAAAAATGCCGCTGAAGTTATCTAAATTTATGAAATAGTATAGTACAAATTGTGAAGCATCCTTATATAATTCAGTGAGAAATTATAAATTCCACTTTATTGACCTTATCATTTACTATCAATATCCTCCCTAATTTGTACATATAAAGTACTGAAATATAGCTAATGACCACCATTTCAAACAATGAAAGTCAAAGAAAGAAAATTTTAATTGCAATAAAACAAATATTAATTATAAATAAGTTAAATGCTCTTATTAGAAGTAAATGATCCTGGGCCAAGACATCTTCGGAGTTCACATTTCGTGTACAGTTTGACCCTTCAAAAAACTCACACACTGAGAGCATTTCTTGGTACAAACTCAAGGTTTCTTCACACAAATTTTATGTTACAAACAAACATAAATTGGTGCAACACAAACTGGCAGTTGCACAACCATTTCTTTCAAAATTCAGTAAGGAGTTGATGATAACTATGATATGAAAAATAAGATTTTCTCGAAACGTCTTGGAGATACATACGCGCTTATTAACCTCATGGAAACCGAATTGAAAAACCATTCCCAGTGGTGGTAACATCGAATTGGCCATCAACATCAGAATCCGAGCCATAATCCCGGTTGTCACCCCATTCATTATCAGAATCCTCGTCTTGCCTCTCGCATTTAGAAGGAATCCTCAATTCAGATACTGGTAAGGGTAGCGGTTCTTCATTCAAATACTTGTCATGGAGCAATTCCATGGCAGTAGCTCTACCAGATGGGTCAAAACATAGTAGTTTTTTGATAAGAAGAACTTCATCGGGAGAGCATTTACACAGACATGCTTCCAAACCGACCGGATTTTCTACTTTAGCAAATGAAATGATATCATAATCAGGGAGTTTTGTGCAACCAGGCCAAACCTTTTCAGATAAGTTTCCCAACACACTAAAAATTCTGCCCAGCTGATCAATATCTGAATTGCCAGGAAAAAGTGGTTCGAGACTCAAAAGCTCTGCAAAAATACAACCCAATGACCACAAATCAATCTCCAGCCCATAGTTTGTAGAACCATAAAGCAGCTCGGGAGCTTTGAACCATCGAGTTCCAACACAGGAGGTAAGGGAACCATTCCCATTGTCTCCAGCCTCGGCCTCATAACAAAAGGAATATCGGGAAGGAACTTCTTCTCTATCACTCGTGGTGCATGTAGCAATATTGGATGCATCTCCATCATGAGTAACACTGTCTTTATCAATTTCATTCGGGAAGTCACTAATTCTGAGTTCATCTGGCCCAACAGTGCATTCTTCTTTGCCTGAAGACCCTTGCTCTTGAATTAATTTGCTTCTTTGATGAACATTGTCCAGTACTTGAACAACTTCAGACGGTTGACCTAAAGTAGCTTCATTTGAGAAAGCCTGCTGATAAGACGGGGTATTATCATTAACAGCAGCAAATCCAGATCCCAGAAGTATCCTAGCCTGCATATAGAAATACAAGACATATTATTCATATACAATATACAAAACTTCAAACAACCTCTATGTGGCAATATTCATAATAAAGAAGTCAACTAGAAGTCTAGAACGCTGTTTTGAAATTCATGACACATTAAAATGCTGTGACAGTACATGTCAAAATTGATTTCCCAAAAGGAGACTAATTTCGAGAGGGACCGAGTTGAAACGAGGAGAAGTACGTGGGTGAAGATGGTAAGGGAAAGAACACATGTATCAGGAAATTATGTAAATAATTTACGAGCACAGAAAAAGAAAAGAATGAAAAACATATTGGGACAGAAGAATATAACCTTAATAATAACAGAATATATTTTTCCTCGTTCTGCACGTGATCTCAACCCTGAACTTCACAAAATTGTCTCTCTTATATTTTTGTTCTTGTACTTGCTTCCAATCAATGAATCAGCAAGCAACAATACAAATTTACACAGACTTGCATAAACGTGCTACAAACACTATTAAATAGACAATTTCCTTGCTGGAATCTTCAACTAAATTCATGCACATTTACTCGCCAAGCAGTGTGTTCACTAAATTATTTAAATATTAAACAAATGATGCCAGAAGAATTATTCTTTTGTGGTTATGCTTCTCATCTCAGTCCAAATTCCCATAAAATGTCTACAGCAGGCTAGCAGATACCACCTCATTCCCTGACCCCCCTTTACCTACCCCTAATATGGCAGCTTGAATAAGAATAGAAATATTCCTAAAAGAAGGATGGATGGATGTTTGTGACATAAGACAATGGGAAAGTTTGTACCACATTACCCCAATAAAAATCTTCAGTAATTTGTTCAAATAAATAAGTAAAAAGAAAGCGATGTGTTCAGGGCAGTCTACTACATTGGAGACTGCCAATTCCAGGTGTCAATCTCCATCTGATTGTGGATGGCAGGCAGCTTCACCATTTTCAGGTTGAGTTTACTCAGATGTCAAGGAGAAAAAATAAAATTAAACAAGTAAACATTTGCTGTATCTAAGAATTTTTTTCGTTGAATGCTTCCATTAGAACATCTATATCAGAAGAATGTGAAGATGATATTTTATGTTGACCATTGTGCAGACAGAGAAACTAGAGAAGAGCATCATATATAATGCTGTACAGTCTTCTGACACCTTAGACAATTATTCTAGCATCTCTATACACGGCAATTGTATGGAGATTACAGACTCATAGAGTTCATCTCCCTACTCACTGACAACTGCTCAACCCATCACCTCATCCATCCCCTTCATCTAGCTGTTACGGCAAACTGAAACAACAGAAGACACATAGCTTGATCAGCTTCCTTGAGCAGTATCTGACCACCAGCCTTCTTTCTAACCCACCCAAACTCATGCAAAAGCGAATCAAAGAGAGAACAATTTAATCATAGAGAAGTTCAAAAATACGCAAAGCATTCACACTCATGTACCAAACATGCCAAATCAGTCTTGGGTCAAAGAAATTTGTTCAAGTATACTTAACCTGGATCCAAAAACTAACTATCACATAAGACAAGCCAAGGTGCATTTTTGTTCAAAAATTATGGTTCTCCCCTCTACTTGTGATCCGGTTTTGATAATATATTAAACACAAATGGTTAGATCTTGATCCAACAGTTCTTACAAACAGAAATAACAACTATCACTATTCTGTTCCAGACCACGCACCTTCGTAAATTCACTTCAGTCTCGCATTCTACATGAACCAGCTAAGACAACATCCATGGTCCCCGAATTGCTTCATATTTGATTCTTTCATATAGTACAACCAAGCATCAGCTTCTCTACATATTATGGGCCGGTAATATACTTTCTACACAGATGGACAGCAATTAAGTAAAATATTTCTCATAAACTTTCACCACAGAAGCCACTGAACAGGGCATGACTCAAAGCATGTTCTTCAGTATCTCCATATGCATTCCAGCATCAATTAATTCCAAATATCTATGAAGGGGATATAGGTAGCCTTGAATCAAGCCCATGATAAGATTTGATTGAGATGCTGAGTCTATACTCACACGAATCCTTTTCTGCCTGTCTCAAGCTCTCCATCTGCAAAATATACAATGACAGCTTCCAAGTCCCAATTTTTCCATGACTAAATACCAAAAAAATATTGCAACCACTTCGTAGTACATAAGCCACAGTGACTGTTATAAAATCAATTCCATTCTTAGATTTAGATCTCTTTAATATGTCTGAATACCACAGCCAGTTCTGATAATCAATTATCAGGGAATGCAGAACTTAGAAAGAACATTCCACAATGCAGTGCATTAGCCATTAGCTATTGAAATACTGAATTGGGCTGTACAATTCCGTATATCTTCTCTTACCATCGAACTTTAGAACCCAATCTTCCTATTTCTCCGTCTTTACATACGCGTGTACAGCAAATTCAAGAAGCCTAAATATCTAATATTATAACCTTCATGTTAACCAACTCATTTAAGAACATAAAATGGTTAGAAAGAGGCATATGCATTTATTTAAATCTCATCTTAAACTCGCTGCCATAAACAGAGCACATAAGCAACCATAGTCACACCGTAAAACAATAAAATAATGAACAGCTAGAAAAAGACAAACCTGGCCAAAGTCAGCGAGCTTGAGAACGCCATCAGCCGAGATCAGCAAATTGGAAGGCTTCAAATCCCTGTGAACGATCGAATTCCGGTGACAAGCATCGACCCCGCACAGAATCTGCACCATCCAGCGCTTAATCTCCCCAGGACTCAGCCCATTTTCCCACTTTTTCTTCGCAGCCTTTATCACGGCCCCCAAATCAGTGGGCAGAAACTCGAGGACGAGCACCGCATCATCATCCTCGCTCCAGAAGTATTCGTGCAAAACGATGACGTTGGGGCAGTTTTGCAGCGTCTGGAGAGCCTCGATTTCCCGGTAGGCCGACTGGTAGTCGTGGATTTCCTTGAGGGCGACTATGAGGGAATCGGAGAGGCGGCGGGCCTTATAGACGTCAGAGTACGCGCCAGAGCCCACGCGCTCGTGGATTTCGTACTTACTGGTAATTTCCCGGCGCGTGTGAATGCTCCAGCTCTTCGCCGGCGGGTATGAGTCCTCCATATTGGAAATGGAGGAAAATGCGTGGGATGCTTTGCCAAATTATTAATTTTTAATAAGTCTCTCTCTCCCTCTCTTTTTTTTTTTTTTTAAGTGCGGTAATGTCAAATTTCAAGGTTTCAGTATCTTAAAAGATCTTTTTTCAAAAAAAAAAAAAGTATCTTAAAAGATCTCTACGGTCATCTACGATGAGATCGATGGATAATTTACAAAATCATCCTCAGTCAGTACATCGACAATTACATCAAATAGCATTTCCTTTATTTTTTTATTTCTTAATTCTGAACAATTAATTTATTTCAAAAAGTTATTACGCCCACGATTGATAGAAATTAAAGGCAAATTTTAAATAAATTTTGGGATTAACAGTAGAGAACCATCTAGAAACGTTTCCATTTACGATATACCTAGAGGTGTCAAGACTGACGGGTCGACCAGATCCGTGAAAACCTGGATTGCGGGCAGACCCGTGACTCGTGCGGGTGGTTCACGGGCCATAGAGGTGTAACCTGCGGGCTTCGCGGGTTACACCCCCATGGGCAGCGGTTAACCCACGGCCCGTGAAAAAAACAAAATTTTCTTTAAAAAAGGGGAGGCTCTCTCCCCCAGCCTGCTGTAGCTGCAGGCAGGAACCTGCAGCAGCTGCAGGCAGGAACCTGCAGCTCCCATGTAGGCTACGCCTGCATGGTCAAACAAAAAATATATATATTTAATTTCTTTTTAGTAACGGTAATATTAAAGTGCGGTAATGTCAAATTTCAAGGTTTCAGTAGCTTAAAAGATCTCTACGGTCATCAACGATGAGATCGATGGATAATTTACAAAATCATCCTCAGTCAGTAGATCGACAATTAAATCAAATAGCATTTCCTTTATTTTTTTATTTCTTAATTCTGAACAATTAATTTGTTTCACAAAGTTATTAAGCCCACGATTGATAGAAATTAAAAGCAAATTTTGGGATTAACAGTAGAAAACCCCCTAAAAACGTTTCCATTTACGATATACCTCTACATATTGAAAATCGCAAAAAATCCCCATATTTGAAACCTTTCGTGCGAAAAACTTCACACCCGATTGGCTAAAACATTTTCTTTTCAACAACTGATGAATGGGGGAAAATTAGTTAACAAAATAAATTGTTACTCCAAAAAAATGAATTGAAAGGTTTTCAATTTAATTTTTCTTACATTTTTAAAATATCTCAAAGTTGCACCCATTTGTCACACACTTGTAAACCCTAACCTATCTAGCGTCTTCTTGTTGCTGTTGCTGATGCTAAATCCCGCCTCGGCCGCAGTCTTGATGGGCCCCAGCCCCCAATTGTGTAAGAGAAATTCAATAAAAATAATCTCAAAAATTCACCAAAAGCCTAAACCAACTTGCGATTTCCTATGGGTTTTCAGAGATACAAAAGAAGGGGAATTTGCGGGACTTAATGAGAGTGGTGGGTGCGGTGGGAAGAGTTTGAAGAAGACGACGAATAGTTCTCTTTTTTTATAAAATAATAAAGTTTTGGGGAAAAAAAATGAAGTGAAGTGGGGTAAAAAATAAAGTTTTAAAGATTTGGAATTGTATGTACATAAAAAAATTTGGATATAATTTGTAAAATGATAAAAGCTTAGATATTAAAATTGCAATTATTACTTTTTATTTTGACATTTTTACTATTTTTAACGGAAAATTTGACGGTATGGGGATTTTTCGTACAAAAAGTTTCAAATATGGGATTTTTCTGCATTTTCCAATAGGTAGGTAGTATATCGCAAATTGAAACGTTTCTAGGAGGTTTTCTGCTATTAATCCTAGATTTTGATAAAAGTTGATAAAATATGAGATTAAAAAGTTGTGGATCCCATAAATTGTGTTATTAGAATTAATTGTTGAGTTTGATTTGAGATTTTAATTGAATTTTAATACAAACCAAACATGGTATAATTATAAATTATATTAAATTTCAAAATATATTTAATTAACTAAAACATTATATTTATTAAAAGATTAAAATACGTGCACTATACTACAATTAAAAAATAATAATAAAGTTAAGATAAATAATCAAATGTTAATCAAAGTAAAATAAGCCCTTAAAACAAGATTTTTAGTAGATTTTGATAAAAGTTGATGAGCTGTATGATTGTAAAGTTGTGGATCTCATGAAATGTGGGGTTAAAATCAATTGTTGACTATGATTTAAAATTTTTAATTGAAATTTGTTATAGCATAAAGTGAATGGAAATATGAGTTATGAGAAACTTTAAAATCATATCAAATGAATAATGTTGCACTAAAATAACATAAATGAATAATTTGGTGCAAAACAATTCATTGCACCAAATTGGTGTAGAGTTTTAGTGTATGGTTTGAGAATTAGTGTTTTTACATCAATTTTGTGCATGATTGGAGATGCCCAAATGAAAATGTGAATTAAAAATATAAAGTGTGTCATATCTCTAACTTTGATTTTCTTGAGTGACCTCCAATCCTTTAGTATTTTCAAAGTCTAAATTGTTCGAGTAGGTCTCATGAACAATCCCCAAAAAAAGACCCACTTCAATAGCTTAATTGTTAATTTTTAAAGATGCTTCAATACTTTTAGATATCGTAAGATCTCTTTCTATAGACTTGAAAATTTTGATTTCCTTATTCAAAAAAGGCTTCGATTATTATTTTAAGACTTTGAAACTTAAGTTGTAATTTGGAATTCTTCCAAATACATGATCAAACTTATATGGTAAAATTCGATATTTGACTTTTAATTAATTAAAATTCGAATTTGATGTTTGGTCAACCAATTAACTTTGGATAAACTTTTGACCAAGTAAAGTGAACAATACACTCATTCGGGGGTGATCGAGTTGGTGGAGCAGGTAAAAAAGGACATCAAAGGTTATGAGTTCGAATTCCCTATCAACGCTTCCTCGGTCAAACCCATCACACCGGACTTGCCTAGTGCGGTTTACTTCTTCTGTGTAGTTTGTAGACTACTGCACATTGAGTGGGGTTTACCTAATGTGCACTCACAGTGGTCGTTCCTTCGCGGCGGGCAGCGAATGCGAGTTCCTACGTAAAAAAAAAAAAAAAAAAAGTGAACAATATTCTGACTTCACTTATACGTATAATTAAGTCATTGAACTTTATCAAAGCATATAACTCAAGCTATAATGTGAGCTATACAATTCAAGCCATAATAATTGAACAAAGGTTTTTTGATCCAATATATTATACATTCAATTATTTATCTAAGCTTATCCCAATTGATAGAATAACAACTATTACATCTTAACTAAATAAATAAATAAAAACTTTTATTACAATTAATTGTTCATCAATAAAAAAAAATTAATATCTTCTGTACTAACCATCCTATTTTGTATTTATCTCATTACAGTAAGTCCTAATGCCTTCGAGCACATATCACAAAGTCAAATTCCATCAAAACATTCTATTCATTCTCTTTCAATTAAGTTTGATGAAATTAAATATATGCTATGGAAATCCCAAATTCACAATTATAAAAACATATAATTGGGAAGGCTTCCAAATACTGAAACTATAAATCCCCATTTCTTGCAATGGTAAAGGTATGATCAGATGGTCGGTCTGCAGTTGGATTAATTCTCACTGTCTGAAGGTATATACATTAACAAATAATGAATTCAAGCTTGGGGCTACTCAGAGAAGCTATTCACTTAAAATCACAAGCAAGAAAATATAGAATTAAACTCCAAACTCGTATTTTGTCTATGATTCAGTATCATTAAAAAGCAGGCCCTCATGGACAAAATGGCATCATTTTATTTTTCTCGTAATAACAAAATAATCATCTTATTTTTCTCAGAACCTCAATATTTTTCTATCCAATAGCTCGAAAGTAATGTCTTTGCTTTATAAACTTTTTTGCTTATAACGACTCATATTCTAGCTCCGAGGCTACATCATCAGGATTCTACATCCACAACATGATTAGGGTAGCAATACCCGTCAAACTTAATCCTATCTACATGTTCAGGCCGGTAGAGCTTACCATCTCATCCCTAACAAATGTCCACGACCCCCACTGGGATGGTAAGAGTTGAGATCGCTGTCTGAAATTGTCTGCCCCACAAATAATTCATCGACACATCATTTTACATCTATTTTTAAGTACAATTGACAGTGAGAGAAAAGTTAGACAGTCTAATTTAAAGTGATATGTCTCAACCAAATCATCTATTATGTTGAGGATTAAACTAGTTGTATATACTTGGTGTACATTAAATTTGACATTCCATGTATTGTCAAAATTTGTGTTATTAAGGGTCCGTTTGATTGCAAGAGTGGAAAGAAAATAAATTTCAGGGAAAGTAATTGCCTAGAAATTGTTTTGAAGGGAATTGTTAATTAAGAGTGTTTGATTGATATAATTTTCCATCCGAAAATTTTTTAAATTTTGTGTTCGTTTGACTTTGTTTTACATGAAAATTGTCCATTAAATTGATAATTTTTTCCACAATTGGTTATTAAATTTGTTTCCAAAAAAAAAACATTTCCTAAAAAATCTATTAGCGAGTAAACGCGCGAAACAGCGGGACTTAATGAGAATGGTGGGGGTGGGTGCGGTGGGAAGAGTTTGAAGAAGATGACGAATAGTTCACTTTTTTTATAAAATAATAAAGTTTTGGGGAAAAAAAAATGAAGTGAGGTGGGGTAAAAAATAAAGTTTTAAAGGTTTGGAATTGTAGGTATATAAAAAAATTTGGATATAATTTGTAAAATGATAAAAGCTTAGATATTAAAATTGCAATTATTACTTTTTATTATGACATTTTTACTATTTTTAACTGAAAATTTGACGGTAGGGGGATTTTTCGTACAAAAAGTTTCATATATGGGGTTTTTCTGCGATTTCCAATAGGTAGGTGGTATATCGCAAATTGAAACGTTTCTAGGAGGTTTTCTGCTATTAATCCTAGATTTTGATAAAAGTTAATAAAATATGACATTAAAAAGTTGTAGGTCCC